AAAAAAAAAAAAAACAAAAAAAAAAAAAAAAACAAAAAAACGCACACACACACAAATAGCGGTGATAAACTTTGTGAGTTTTCGCATTTTTGTAAACTTGACGTTTGACTTGGATGTGACACTGCTTGTTCGTTAGCGAAGACCTTAACATGCTGTCATCGGTAGCATTGTTAATTGGACACATATGTCCATCCTTTTCTGCAGGGCCCACATTAATGGACACACAATTGGGTTCCAAATAACACTTTACTCGACAGCTCTCCTCATCAGACACCTTTTCTGTCCTAATCACGTTACCAACAAACACTTTGTCTGGTATCGGCTTCTTGAATTGTTTGATGCGGCAGTAATCTGGTAGCAGGAAGACTTCATAGAAACATGTGCAAATAATTCTATTAACTTCAATTTGTTCACAAAAATAATCAGGCAAGGTGCACTAGGTTTACCTAACAAAAGGCTTCTTTTAAGCAGGGTATAAAAACAGATTTATTAATTATGCAAACCGAATCCTCTAAGCACATGCTTAAAGAAGCAATTTATCTTCAATAGCAGGTAAGCAGTTTCTTTTTCTAGACAGATTTTCTGGTTATAATATTGAAATATAGATTTGATACAATTTCTAATGAAGAGAGGGATGAAAACCAATGGCAGGAATAATAGCCGGAGATAGCAACGACAATAATCATTATTAGGAACATCAAGGATTTCTTGAGAAACGGTTAACACTGTGGAGAAATGGCGAGATCGAGTCTCTATCACGCGAATGGTGGATTGATCCAACGGCACTTATCAAAGTCGAACAAAAATGATCCACCAAATAAAGCGCGCATTTTTGCAAAGCTGGTCATGGAGGGCCAGATTCATCCGGCCCTGCGATATCTCAGTGAGGATGTTAGCGGAGGAGTATTACCGCTGACCGACGATGTTGTGAGGCAACTAAGAGAAAAACACCCTGACGAGCAGAGGGCTAAGCTAGGGTCACTGTTGTTCGGGCCTACGGAAGACATACCTGACTCAGTGTACCAAGAAATTAATGGAGAGCTTGTAAGAGAAGCGGCATTGAGAACTAAAGGGTCTGGCAGCCCTTCGGGTGTAGACGCCAATGGCTTCAAGAAGATCTTGGCATGCAAGTCTTTTAAGAGATCAAGTATCAACCCATGTGAGTCTATTGCTACACTCACAAGAAGACTGTGCACAGAACCTGTTGATCCGCTGACCATTGAGCCTATCGTAGCCAGTCGCCTTATTCCGCTTGGGCAATGGCGAGGTTCGCCCAATCGGCGTGAGCGAGGTGATTAGAAGAATAGTTGGCAAATGCGTCACTGGAGTCGCAAAACAAGATGTGATCAACGCTAGTGGGGCCATGCAAGTATGCACTGGTCAGAAGAGTCGCGGGGAAGCCGCAATACATGCCATGCGCAATATCTTTGAAGCCGATGAAACTCATGCCGCCTTACTAGTTGACGCCTCAAACGCCTTCAATTCACTAAACAGAGCGGCCGCGCTGAATAACATCGGAGTGTTATGCCCGTTGATCGTCACCTATGTAACCAATACTTATCGAGTTCCTGCGCGCCTTTTTGTGGTTGGTGGTAGTGAGCTTAAATCTGGAGAAGGAACTACACAGGAAGACCCCTTAGCTATGTCAA